GGCTCCTCATTTACCTGGAAAAAGGGAAGGAGACCCTGCAGCGCACAGGTACCAGGGGCCCTGGGGCCGCCCCCTCTCCCCGGGGCTGGGGCTCCTACAAGGAGACAGAACAGGGGGTCAGTGTCAGACACCCCTCCTTGGGTCAGAGAGAGACACCCCTGGATGTCAGGTCAGTAACCCATCAGCGGTCCCCATGGGCCCTGCAGGAGCTCTGGGAATCACAGGGTCCTTCTCTCTCAGGCCTTGTGCGTTGCCCACACCCACTGTGTCTGAGGCCTGACCCCAGCTTTTCTGAGTCACGTGGCCTCCACATCATCATCATGGGCATCGCCGGGGTCTTGGTTCTGCTGGGAGCTGTGGCTGGAGCTGTGATGTGGTGGAGGAGGCGCTCAGGTGGGCAGGGGTGGGGTCTGAGTGTCTTGTCCCCCTGGGGGTTCAAGCCCAGGTAGACGTGTGCCCCGCCTCATTCATGGGAAGCATTATCCCCATGGTGTGATGGCCAGTGTGGGGCTCCCTGTGCTCACACTTACTCTTTAGTGAGGCCCGTGGGAGTTGGTGGTGGGGACCCCGTTCCCAGCAGTCCCAGGTCAGAGGGCAGGTCCTTGCTGAGCACAGACCTCCAAGAGGGCGGTGGGTCCAGTCCCCACACATGCATTTCCCTCAGGTTTCCTGATCCTTTCCTGAGTCTACAGGGTTCTGGAAACTTCTCTGGGGCCCAGGGCTAGGGCTTCCTTTAGGACCTCATGGCCCTGCCTCCTCCCTGGTCTCTCATGGGTTGTTTTCTTCCCGCAGGTGGGAAAGGAGGGAGCTACTCTCAGGCTGCCAGTGAGTATGGGGGGTGACCCCTGAAACCCTGTGACAGTGCAGATGGGAGCCATGCCCCCCCCCATAGTTCCTCCTAGTCTCCTGCCCTGGGGCTCTGACCCCGTCCTGTCCTGGTGTGTCCCCCTCAGGCAGTGACAGTGCCCAGGGCTCTGATGTGTCTCTCTCGGCTTCTAGAGGTGAGACCCTGCCGTGGGGAGGGGTGGGCAGAGGGGAGGACTGGGTGGTGGGGAGTCTGTGGGACACTGTGAGCATGAAGTAAAGTTTTGAGAATGTCACCAGTTATACTGACTGACCTGAGTCTGTTCATGATGATTGTCCTCCACAGCGTGAGGCAGCTGCCTTGTGGCGACTGAGTGCTGGAAGATGTGTTCACGCTTCCACCTCCTGACTCAAGAACCTCTGATGGGGGCTGGCCCTGCCCTCTCCCCACACTTTCTGGTCCAGCAGAGGTGGGCTGGGCCCTCACTATCGCTGTCTTTACTTCTTTGTATTCTGAGCTGCAAGCTGTTCCTTCCGCATTGAAATTAGGTTGTGGAGGTGACTTTGTTCATTTCTTGCCATGAAGGGTTTGTGGGTAAATTCATCCGCCCTGCTCCCCACACTTTCTGGTCCAGCAGAGGCCGGCTGGGCCCTCACTATCTCTGTCTTTACTTCCTCCTACTCTGAGCTGCAAGCTGTTCCTTCCGCATTGAAATTAGGTTGTGGAGGTGACTTTGTTCATTTCTTGCCATGAAGGGTTTGTGGGTAAATTCAAGGAGAAGATTCTAAATTTTGAGGGGAAATAAATATAAATACCAAGAACTTTCCAGAACTCATGTGTTTGTTGTGCAGAGCTGTCCCAGGTGTGGACAGGAGATGTTTTGAAGACCGAGTGTGGTCGGTGCCTGTGCTCAGGTGGTGCTCTGAGCATCGTGGGCTTTGACGTGGTCACTCCTCGGCTGGGTCACCTCTCTGCTCCTCTGACCTTGTCCCTTCAGTAGAACCTTGTCCCACCAGGACCTGTGGTAACTGGAGCTCAAACATCACTGAGGCCTTGACACCTGTCCTTTTGCAGAGCATCTCCAGGACCCTGGACAGCGAGGGCTTCCTGGGGTTGGTCAGCCTGGGCTCAGGCCTGAATGGGACCCAGCACCCATCCTCTGGGTGTTTGTTGTTTCTTTGGTTTTGTAGATATTATGCCTGTTACTGTTTTCATGTGTGAGTTATGTTCTCAATATCTGGCTGTCCCCCATCTGACAGCAACAGGGTCATTGTCCCACAGGCCCAGGGGTCCCTGCACACAGGACTCTGTGGTTGGAGAGATGCATTTTCAGGCTCCTCCTGCTCTTGCCTCCGGGAGAGATTTGAGTGGGGATAAAGTCGCTCCTCTTTGGAGATGTCCCAGGCTCTCCATGCAGACAGTGTCCCCTACGCCTCAGGTGACATGATAATGGCATCTCTGTGGGAAGATATGGTCCAGGAACCCTGTCCCTACAACTGTAGGCTCAGGGCCCCCGGCTTGTCCTCAATGACACATCCCTGCCCAGAGCTCAAGAGCAAAGACCAGCCAGGTGAGATCTTCCTTATGTCCAACCTCAGGGCAGAAATCAGGGGAGGAGGGTGGTTCCAGGAGGGGACATGGAACTGGGGTGGATCGTCCCATGGGGCAGGACAGGCGCTGCCCCCCCCCCCTGTGTCTGAGCTGCTTCTGCTGGCTCTGCTGGGCTGAGGGGGGGGGGCATGTACTGGGGGGGGTGTCCCAGGGTGGGATTCCCACCAATGCTGGGCTTCATGCACCTCTCTGTGTCCTTGAGTTCCCGACAGTGAGGGACCCGAGCACGGGGCTCCCTTTGGGATCTGAGCCAAGGGTAGGACGGCCAGGGCCACTGAGCTGCTCAGCCATGTGCACAGGGGTCTGCTTATCTTCTCAGACCTCACGAGCTTGAGGCTTGGGTGTGAAAACCATAGTAAAATTGATGTGTAGAATTAGGGTGATTACTTTAAAATTCTGACATAAAATAAGGTCCATTCACACACACACATGCACAGACAGATATTCACCCAGAATCTTCATCTGTGGTATAAAAACATGATATAAAGAACACATTAAAATATATGTTTCAGTGATTTTTAAAGAGAGCGGAAGGAGAGGGAGAGAGAGATAGAAACATTGATAAGACACACCTGCTGCCTCCGTAACGCACCCCACTGGAGACTGAGCTGCAACCCAGGCATGTGCCCGACTGGGAATGGAACTGGCCGTCCCTTGGTGCATGGGTGGATGCCCAACCACTGAGCTACACTGGCCCGGTGATGTCAGGACCATGTGTGTTTCCTCCTGAAATCCTGCCTTGGGCTGCAATTGTCTCCGGATCCCTGGGAGATTGGGGGCTCATTTCTCTCTGTGTGTTCCCTATTGCTTGGGTGTGAGTGTTGCTTTGTGCGTGTGAGGCAGCAATGGGAGAGAGAGGAATTGCTGGAGAGATCATCTCTCTTTGTCAAATAGTTTGCCTGGTGCAACCTGCCGGGTCTGTTCTTCCCGTTGGACATTGTAATGTTTTATCCTCTCATCCCAGGTCGCCACAGATGAGCCCACAAGGAAACCAGTCACATCTCCCATCACCGTGGCCTCTGCTCCTCCTATGAACTCTGTGTGAGGGCTCACATGTCCCAGCCGCGTGAGCACAGTGAGCATGAAGGGCACATGGTGCTCACAGCCCCCCTGACCTCTGCTCTGTATTCATGTCCACGTTCCTCTCTCCCAGGAGGAAGCAGAGGCGCAGAGTGGGAAGCAACATCCCCAGGCGGCACTGAGCTCACTCCTGAGTGACCTTGACTCCAGGTCAGAGCTGTGTGGTCCAGAGGCCTGAGCTCCCGCCCCCTGCCCTGGGCTCCTCCCCACGGTCCTGTCACCGTCCCGTGTCACAGATGAGGGAACGGGGTCCTGAGAACTCAATGCCGGGGTGCCAGTGTCCTGAGGCAGCGACGGGGGAGGTGAGTGGAGGAACAGACCTGGAGATGCAGGAGCTGAGGGTTATGGGGACTCACTGTCCCCTTCCCGTGCCGCCTGCACTGCAGTTTCATAAGCTGCACCCACTGCTCCTGAAGGGAAAGGACATTTGGTGACTCTGGGATTTTTTTAAAAACTGGCGTCTCCCTGCTTGTACTCGGTAATGTTGTCAGGGTACTACAGGAGCATGAAGACCCTGCCTCTGATGGACGCTACTCACTGAGCCCGCCCATGGCCGCCTGAGGCTGTGCCTGAGTGACCTTGTTACTCACTCATAGAAGCTTCCACAGCTTTGCTGGGCCGCCTTCACGTTCTGGGTGAAGTGGAGCTCAGAGCACCAGCCTGATGCTCCTTCAGGGACACAGTGGGCAGAGAGCGCCCCCTGCAGGACCCCAGAGAACAGCTTTGACTGAGAACTTAGACCCATTCTAGGAAACAGACACCTTTTCCTGCCCGTCGTTCAGCTGCTGGTGAGGACCAGGAGGACAGCCCTCAGGAAGGAAGGTCTAAATGTACAAGATATAGGACATTATCCCACAGGCCTGGGGATGGCTTCCTACAAACCCGGTGGGGGCGCCAGAATCCATTCTTCTCCATCTCACATCCCTGCTGATTCCTCCTTCCCGGATACTCATGACGCAGCCTTATCGCTCACTCCTATTGGCTGTCTGCTTCCAGGTTATAAAATCTCCAGGGACCAAAGTGACTCAGATGGTCCCGGGACACCAAGAATGCGGGTCCTGAGCCCCCCCACCCTCCTCCTAGGTCCAGGAACCTTGTCCCTATAACTATAGGCTCAGGGCCCCCAGCTCGTCCTCAATGACACATCCCTGCCCAGAGCTCGAGAGCAAAGACCAGCCAGGTGAGATCTTCCTTATGTCCGACCTCAGGGCAGAAATCAGGAGAGGAGGGTGGTTCCAGGAGGGGAAATGGAACTGGGGTGGGTCATCCCATGGGGCAGGACAGGAGCTGCCCCCTACCCCCGTGTCTGAGCTGCTTCTGCTGGCTCTGCTGGACTGGGGGGGGGGGGGATG